TCCTTACTGCTATGGATCATCAAAGTAGCAGCAGTTCTGGATGTATCCTAGAGTGATGTTTTCCTGTTTTACTTATTAATCTTCCTCATCCTCAACTTCTAAGCTACTGCAGCTTTCCATCACAGTGAGAGAAGCAGTACAAGTGCTCAAATGTAATCTGTTTATGCCAGGGAAACTTTAGGTTTGGCTCTTTTGAGACAAGACAATCATCACTTGGTGCTGAGGTTACAGAGAACCAGGTTCTATTTTGTAACAACAATCTATGCTGAAAATTATTGTGTTTTTAAAATAATGATTAAAGACACAACCAACAACCGCACAGCTCTTTCACATATGTACTAAAAGCAGCAGGAGCTACGCACAAAGCAAGTGTTTTTTCAGGAGAAAGGCAACAACTATAGAAATGTTGAACAGGATCTCCTTTTATCTTTTTTTTTTAATTCTCTTTGATTACTTTAACTTGCACAATATATATCCGACATTTTATTTCATTTGTTACGAGTATCTGGGCAGAGCTCCAGTGCTTTGGTGAACTGGTCACAGTGAACAGTTCGGTTCAGCATGAGCACTACCACCAGCAGGGAAAGCTGGAGAAGTGGAGGAGATAAAATACCATTGTCACATCCATACAGGACAAGATTGAGACAGCCAAGTAAACAGGAACTGAGTTCCAGAGAGTTTCTTCATCTCAACAGGAAAGAAAATTCCAACCAATGCAGGACTTTAAATACAAATCATCTTCACAATTAATGTGGTTACCTTTCAATCCGAACAAGAAAAACAAAGATTGCAAATATGGCATGAACAAATATTACTGCCTTCAACTACAAATATTTAGTGAGATAAAAGCAATGACTCAGACTTCTATGCATTGAAACTTCTCATACTAGGAATAAAAAAAGTTTTAAAATAATTCTCTAGAGAAAAAGCCATCAGATTATATAATTGTATGAAATGTGCATAAGCCCAGATCCGTGTTTAATTTTCTCTTTGTTATCAGACTGCAAGACAACTTCTTTTTACTGGAAACAGGCATTTAAGGCAGAAATACACTTGTGTCACATATTCTGTTTCATCATTCATGCAGACAGGATTATCTATAGTCACTGACATTTGAAGAGCCACATCTGGCAACTTAAACAGCACCAATTACAAAAATGACCAAAATCAGGAAGTTCACTGACAATGGGGCTCAGAGGGGACAATAAATTTACATTTAACCAGAGGACCCCAGGTTTCTAGGATGATTAAATATGGTTCCATCAGGGCTGGTAGCTGACAGAAGATGGAGAACACAATCTTTCCATGTTTGCATGAATACATTCAGGAGTAAACACTTATTAAACACTTTCCCTTGTTTGACTCTAGGAAGCATCATGCCTAAAGGGATTTTGAGCCAATGTTCATCCCAATTCCTCCTGATGGGCTGGAAGGGTGAGGGTTGTTTGGAGAATGGAGAGGGAATGTTGAAAGACGCTGGGCAAGGTGGGAGGAAAGCACAAGAGGATGCTTAAAATAGTCCCACAAACACATCTAGCCTCTCTCACGGATTAGAAAGCCCAGGGGCTCAAAACCATCAACACTACAGCAGCCTAGTTAGGAATATGATCTTCAGCAGAGCTGGAAAACAGGATGTGTGCAGGTGGCAGGAATGGGACACTAAAGGCTGACACTTCAGCAGGGCACAGACAAAAGATTTAGTCAACTCTACACTGCTAGCATGCAAAAATACTTTGGCATCTGTCCTGCTCTGCCCTATTTTGACCTCTTTCCCAGTACTATGTGCAAGGGGATTTTAAAAGTCTAAATGAGTAATGCCACCTGCAGCTTAGAAATATGCTTTATATCAGAGAGAGAGAGAGAGAGATTAAAAAAGAAGTATCAACTTTACCAACTTGCTTAAGAGTTTTGTGAGATGTTTTCAAAAACAGCCCAAAGAAACCCTTTGAACATTTCAATATTCAAGATCTGATCACACAAACCATGTGGGACAACATGAAGAGAGTGCAGCTTTCCCAACAACTAAGAGACAACGCTGAATTTTATTTGACCAAGTTAAATGGTTATGGGTAATACAGCTACACCATGTGTATTTCAGGGAGGGCTTGGGATTTTATTGTTATTTTTAAAACAAAAATCAATTGAGGTGATAGATTGGAAAACAGATTTATGTTAGTTATGCATCTTACTGTATTTTTGTACAGTTTACTTTTAGATTGTTCCTTAGAGCACGAAATAAAAAGGCCATTGTTTTACCATGTTCTCCCATCATTATAATGAGATGCATCAGATTGGAGTTATTGAATAAGCTCAAAACTCCCCAAGTTACATTCTTCTTCATCTTCAGCCTCGCCTTTAAAGCGAGCTCAACTCTTCTTAAAAGGATCAGGGCTGTCCTCAGGTATGCCCTGTCTTTAAAGATGAAGCCCCAACCAGATTTTATGGAAAAGACCTGTCAGTCTCTACCTTTGCCAAACTCCATAGCAGGTTTAAACAATTATGCATGACAGTAGATTTTGATTCCAGGCTCCTCTCACTCAGTATCAAGTTCTAAAAATAATATTTTTCTTTCTGCTAGGGCACCTCCAAATAGTGATGATCCAAAGGCATTAAAGCAAAAGAAAGTTACAACTTAAAGAGCGTGACACAGATTATGAATAAAGAAACCCTTCCCATATGGAAAAGTTTTAAAAATTTGACATTTCTTTTCAATATGTTTTAATCAGAAAGACAGTAGTGAATTCTCACTGCTTCAGACAGAAAAGAATCAAACCTCTTGGGAGACATTACACAAAGGCAATTGCAAAGAAGGGAGAACAATCCTGTAGTTTCTTTTAAAACCATACTCCGTGTTTTTTTTAAATGCTGGGAAAGTCAGCAGTTTGGAGCCAGCCACATGTTACTTATCAATGCTTCAAATGCAGGGTGAGTTAGAAAGGCCATGCCTGGTTCCTTTTTCAATTGGGAAAAATCTCTTTTGAAGTCTTTTTGAGGGACTGATGGGGGAGAAAGTGTCAGGAAAAGGATTTGACAGGTTCTGCGCAGTGAGGGGCAAAAAAACGTCAAGAGTAAAATCCCTTGTCTAAAATGAGCAAAGAGATAGAAACCTCTCCTTCAGCACTGGAGACGCCAGATAAAATGTCTAAGAATCCCTTGTATCTTTTTTTCCAGCTACACATTAGTTCCTTTTTATGCTTTTTGCCAGCTTCTCATCTTACCAGGAGCCTGCAGGAGAAGCCAGTCCAACATTGCAGGGAATGCAGCCACACTGGGGCTCCAAGTCTAGCACTCTCCCAAGATCCCAGGAAAACATCTTGTATTTTAAATACCCCAAGCATCACATAAGATCTCAGTTTCAATTGGAACCAATGATCTGAATCACCTTAAAGCAAAAGTAAAAGGACCAAGAAATTACCCAGTTTCTTGAAATGAAAGGCATTACTGATGAACACATCAATGACAACAACATTGTTGGTTTTGTTCTTGGACAGCAGACAGATTTTGCTCTCCTGTATTTTCAGTTCTGTCTAAATAACAGACATGAGTAGTTTTGTACCACCTGCAATGTAAGCATAACTACCACCAGCAGGTCAAGAACTGAACACATTTTGCTTTTACCAGGACGATAAGTTGCGCTGTCCTTTCTTTTAAATTCTCACACTCTTCAAACAAAAAGAAAACATCCATTATTTTTTCCATCAATCACAAAGACTTAATGTAACTCATCTCTAAAAGCTGTATTTATAGTAGAAATTTGAGGCATTAATTCCATATAAACTCTACTCTCATCTGTAGCAAACTGCTTTTGCATGCGTGGCACAAGCAACCTACACAGCTACAAACAACACAAACAGCATCCACAGGACAGAAAGGACCAGAGTTCACTACACCACTACTCACAAGTAACAAGTTGGTGCACTCTTAGTGGAAGAAGGCAGCTCAGCTCCTCTCAATTTGAAGTGCACACAAGTATAAAATCAGCTTTTATTACCAAAAGCCATTGTCTTTCCATTTTGATGAAGTGATAATATTTTGACTTCTTCCTTGCTTCTGCCTCACAGTGTTCCATTTGCAAGGTATGTGTAGCATCTCACAGATAATACTTCACAGCAAAGAAAGGAGAAAAACTTTCTCCAACTAAGAAAAATCTTTCAAAAGAACCCTATCCAAGTGCTAGCAACAGGATTATTTTAATGTAGTCTTTTTAGTTACATAACAGACATGAAAACGCAAATTATAACACTGTCTTATTTTAATAAAGACCTGGGGAGCTATAGAAAAGAGTGCTAGACAAAAAATACTTCAGATAAGAGATTAGGTACTCAAATCCCTAAAATATTCCAGAGTAAGAGTGTTTGCTGCCTATTATTATAAAGATAAAAACCACAACACAATATATGTTCTCTATACCAAAGATACACTTCTAAGACATTAACAGAAGTGTCTGAAAAATGTATAAAAGAATCCCCAAGTTCCAGCTTGCAGAATCCAGGCTGCTGTCAGGTTCTGCCATCTTCATACCACTCCTTTTGCATCTTTAGGAGCTGTACATGAAGCAGTTAACTGTTGTTAGCTAAGTCTGCTAACTGCCCTGAAGAAAGTCAAAGCTTCAGTCACCACACTCCCTGGTATTTGATGATATTTATCATCAGCTGGTGCCTGCAACCCACTACACAAAGAGGGAATATCCACCTCACTGGGGCTGGAACTTGCAGGACACCTCAAAACTCTTATGTCTATGCAATTCTATTATACATTTAGAGCAAGTATTATGCACCTTTGTTCAGACTCTTGTCCGCACACCAAAGCTAGGGTAAAACTTTATCCCACAAAAGTATTTTGCACAAAATTAATGAGATTATTGTGATGGGGCTTTTTGTCTATGGTTTTTAATGAAACCACTTTAAAAGTGGCAGTTCACTGATTCAGTTCCCTCTTCCCCCTTAATACTGTTACACTAGAACACAGCAAGAATTCAGGCAGCAAAATGTTTTGGGTACCTTGAGTTTTTCCACAGCTCTCCTCCTCTCTAGTAATACAGTTGACCTGTAAAACAGAAAAAAGACATGACTGACTTGTGGTAGGCTTCTCAACATAACTGGAATATACTGTGTACTGTATATTTACAGTATCTTCTTAAACCCCTTTTCAGAACTTTTAATTGAATTACATTTTATTTTGTTATCATATAATGCATTTTTCATATAACAAAATCTCAAAGGAAAGTCTCATTTAAGAGCGTCTAGTTGGAAATCTCAACACTGACCAGGTTACAACTCAGAAAATCCAGACTACCTGCTGCATTTTTAAAGTAGAGCGTAACAACCACAATCCACAACTCCCCTGGTAGCCCTGAGGAAGCTGAATTCCAGAGCAGCCTGAGCTGGGACAGGAGCACAGCACAGGAACACAACACCTCCCTTCAAACACTGACAGCTGCCAGTGCCCAGAGCTCCTACGGAAACAACCGCCCTGCTCTGACCCTTTCCCACCCCCGAGCAGGAATGGGTTTTCCTCTTGCATTCATCTTCTAACATGAATGTAAAATGAGTAAATAAAATAGCAATTGTTTCCTTCTATCATCTTTTGTCTTCACAGGATTTGACCACAAGTTAACTTCAGTCAAACCTGACAAATTATTTCCATCGTTTTCCTTTTTCCCTCAGCCACTCCACCAAGAAAAAACAGTTATTTCCTGGGGGACAGGGGCCAGACTCCTTCCTTTCATACATGCATACAAAACATATGCTACATTTTCTAAGATCTGTACATTGCAAATTAGACATTTTAAGCATTTTGAAAACACTGAGCTCAGCCTACCATGAGGCAAGGCTGCTACTTCTCACCAACTTGTTACCCCATTTGAATTCATCAGGTTGTAACAGACTCTTTCAACCACTCTCAGCTTTTTCTTTTTATTCTTTTATGACTTCACTGTAGTATCCTCAAGGATTACTGCTTAGGTCTTCTCAGCATATCACACTACAAATACCTCTCTAGTTTCAACACTTACAGCAGCCGGGTTGTCCCATTTCCCATCAGCACTAAAAGCTGGATTATTCAATGTGCTCTATGAATTTCAGGAGTAAAGAACTGACTTCCAAAAAACCAAGGTGCATAAAAACAATGCAAGTAGAATTATACAAAATTACTGGAGGACACCATCATTACAAGATACTCTATAGCAAAAAAACCCAAAATTCCAAGAGAAGTAAAAATAAGATGTTATTGCATCTTGCTATTGCTCAAATTGTCTATTTTCCCATGTCTATTTACTTATATAAAGTCAATTTCTTGCTCAGCAAGTTTGCATTTAGGAATGAACAATGTACTTATACAGAATATTACAGGTATAATACAGGTAAACAGCCATAAGACTATTTAATCTACTTTTAGACCTGACAGGAATACAGATTTAGGGGAGATTTAGGGGACAGAATTCTCTGCCTAGGTGCTCTTTGTGGGGCTTGGGCATATTTACTCATTTTGCTGTCCTGCCAACTGCTCCCTGGCAGAGAGAGCACACAAAGCAATGGCAGTGACTGGGGAAAGAACAAGAAATCCATTGGCACCAAAATGCCATGCTAGAGCGTGAGTACTCCACAGCATCAGGAATTTAAACACTCTAACGTGACTGTTTATTCTTGGCATGGGTACAGTTTATTTTTCATCTACTTCACACTGTTAGAGATAAGGGAATACTATTTTTACGCAAGCTCTGATATGTTATTTTAAGCGTGGCCGTCACAAGCAAGAAGAGACTCTCTTCCAGGCCAGCAGCTACTGTTTCCAGAGGGCATTGACAGGAAAATTTCAGTCTCTCCAATTTTCCAGCTTCGGGTCTAGTAGCACTGGTTTGCAGAGCACAGAGGTGCCCATATCTGAGGTGTCTGACCCCACTTCAGTCCCCCCAGCGTGGCACAGCCCTGCTCCTGTCCAGGAGAGCCAGCGTAGCCCCAGGACAGCCAGGGGCAGCTTGCTCAGCTCTGTCCCCATCTCTGGGCACTGCACAAGCTGGAGATCCTGCAGCTCTCAGTAGAAGGAGGTACTGTAGGAGAAAGCCAGAAACTGTGACACTGCAAACGTAAAATGCTATTGAGAAAATCTTTTTCCTGTCCTTTGTCACAAGCTCTTTGTTACAATCTCTTTTTTCTACTTTACATCCCTTCTCCTTATTACCACTCAATGAACCTTCACAAGCTATTCATCCCACCCCACTTCAAAATTCTCATTATTAAAACAACAACAAAAATATGTGAAAATTATCAAGCTACTCTGCCATTTAGTGCCACGACTTAATTCCTTCTGCTTAATCCAGCAGGGTCTTTCATCCCATTCTACCCACCCCTGGAGTATGAGCAAGAAACCTTGACACAGGCACTGGTCAGGAAATGTCTTCACTTCACTTTACATTGTTTAAGTCACATTCTCAGCTCTTGTTCATCAGTTAAATGCCTCCATGCTCAAAATAAAATTATATAATCAGTAACAAAGGATGAAGATCATATCAAGAATGGGAAAAAGAAAATCTGGGAAGGAGTAACAGTCACACATTAAAGAACAAACTCAGAGTCAGGTCTCAGATCAGGGAAAACAACAACCATATACGTTCTTGGATGAATAAATGAGGAAGAGAGATGGATTTTAACTCAAGAGATGACAGCAGTAAGACAGATATTGAACATGAACAGCTTTGGAAAAATTTTCAATATATCTGAATAACTGCATATGTCAGAAATCAGACATACTACACAAATCCTAACAGGATATTGAAAATGCAAGTACAAATTAAATGCTAAGTGTGGGCTTCATCCTGTAGGACAAAAGAATTTTTGTGTCAGAAATACCATTTATCTTGAGAATTAAAGTGCAAAAGCCACTTGGTTACTTGAGAGCTACCTCTGCCTCTCTTAGAGAAGAAATGTTTTAGAGCTGCATCCAGAAACTATGAGTAATCACAATGATGGATAGTCCAGGAACTGTTGGGATATCCCAAAGAAACTTACCCTGGAATGAAATTATACTCTTCCTCAGCTACTCATATTATAATGACTGAGCAGTGTGCATTAGGAAAATACACTTCTGGTTTGAATCCAAACCTTGAGTATAAAAGCAAAGCTCTAGTAAATATTTAAGAGAATTTTGAGTTCCAAACTGAAGAGCTGGCAACTAAGTTCTTTCTTTTTTTTTTTTTTTCCTAACAAACAAAACCATCAAAAGATGGTGCAACTCTAAGAGCCCTTAAAGAAACAATTGGGAATTTTTCATAACATGGTATTTCCTTATACTGCTGACCACAGGAATGCAAACAGTTCCACCAAACAGAGATTTCTTCATTGGAAACAACTGACAATCTAACCATGTTTCCATCTTTTCCATTCTCAGCACTCAGCATACAAAACAGATGATATAATAGAATACAGAACTGTCATACCAGGGCCACAAGACATCTTTACTATAAATCAGCACCTGAGAAACTTAACAAAAACATATTTCCTAGGGGTTACAGAGAGAATTTCTGCCTAATTATTTAGCACCTTTGATTAACAAAACTGTGATCTTCTACTTATTTGTCGAATTTCCCCTAAATACTGTTAGCATCCCTGTCAACCCAAAACATATCCCTATCCCCAACCATAACTCAGCATATCAGTAACAAGACTCATTCCCACAACATTCCCTGACAGTAAGGCAGGTGATACACAAAAACATGGGCTGGTACTCAACTGAGTTAGTGAAAGGAAAAGCAATGCTACTCTTTGAATCTTAGAAGACATCTAATGGATAGATTTCCTCACCACCTTCTTCATTCAGGATTATTTGAGCTATGTCAGCTCACACCATGAATCCCTCCAAAGGAAGCTGGAAATGTTTGTGTATATGTACAGCAATGGTGCTCAGAACTCACATTCTACCAGAAACTGCACAAGGAGATCAAGTATCAGAGATACCTCAAGGGAAAGGCAAGACAGGACTTACAAAGGGACTTAATTTTCCTGACATATAATTAACAAATCACTATCATGGAGAAAACAATTTACACTCTGTGCTGAACTCCATGCTGTGAAGAGAGAAATGCAGGATAAATGAACATAGGCAACTGAAAACACAGTACTGCCAGAATTCAGGAAGGCGCTAGGAATGGGAAAGGTGCTACATCGGCCCCCTGACCAATGTATGTCATTGCAAATTTGCAACTCAGTTAAGGCAAGATTTTAATCAGAGCTACAACTGCACTTAATTCTCTCAATTCAGGCTGAAAGAAAGCAAGAGGAACAAGTCATAAAAGGAGAACAAAATTGGAATGTGCTATAAAGAGACCAAATTGTTTTCAAAAGTAAAAACCAAAACAAACAGAGCCAATGAAAGACAAATCTTTATGAGTTAGTTTGCCAAACAAGTCAAGAATTTTGGATGGTAGAAAAGACAGACAAATGTCTTAACTTCAGATAGAGACATAAAAAGATTTTGCTAGTGTGGAAGTGTTTACAATTCATGGCAGAGAGATTATGACTCTTGTAGTCAAGGAAACCACTCTTACAGGATTCCAAATTTTGGAATTCCCCTTTCAAGAGGGAACATAGGAAAATCCTCCATGCTCTTCTGAAAGGAGAATGAATACGGCTTTAGTGTCCCAAACAAGACTTCGACAACAAACTGGTTCCAATGGCTCCGTAGAGGAAGAGGTCACCATCATAAATGAAACATGTCAATACTTCACTTTCATATTCTGAGATCCTCAATAATAAAACAGCCATTACATCCCATAATATTTTCACATACAAAACCATTTACCAGGAGCTACTGAACCAGTAGCTAAAATTTTCAAGTTAAGCTTTATTTATCTGCTGCATCTCTTGATGTTTTCTTTCAAAGGGATGCCCACTGAACTCTCAAAAGCTGATCTTTCATCACAGCACGCTGCTGATCTTGGAGAATTCAACTTTTCTCCTGTTTAGATGATTCTGAGGCTCCAAACATAAATTATACCAAGAAACAGCTTGGTTTAATTATAATAGTAGAGCAAAACTTATTTTTCCAGTTTT